GTGCATATCTTAGTTTCCTTCAAATTCTATCTTTTAAATATGGTGTTTGTCACAATATTGGGAAGAGCACGAAAGGGGTTATCATTAGGCTACTGTCTGTGTGCGACACCTGTGAACAGAGGTTTTAGAGTACTGTCATCAAACCAGGAATGTTTGTGCATCCTTATGTCTGTCATTACCATATATGTTTCAAAGCATCAGACGAATCAAGTTCACATCAGTGATCATTATTCGCGCAAAAGTATTTTCTCAGAACATGAATTTTGCTATTTAGAACACAATTTAAAGCTGAATTGTCATGCGCCAAGCAATCCTCGCTGTGATTAAACATTAAATCGCATACCACAGGATAGGGCTGCGTGATAAATCGAAATGGAATCGAGATCGCGATTCGACAGAAGATGCGATCGTCATGCGTATCTTTCAGTGAAGCGCGGTTCTGTGATCCGCAGTAAATCTCCATCCAAAGGCCAGAGGGCGCTCTCGCGCTGAAACTCCAAATACACCTCGCAGAAGAAACCCAGAAAATGCCTATTGCTGCAGCTGAATAAACAGACGATTCAACTGCTTTCATTAATTCAACGTGACTAATAAACACACGACTTCGATTAATCGTGCAGCCCTACCACAGGAAAATTGTTCGAAAGCAGCACATCCACTGCAAATATTTCTGTTTAAATTCATATAAAAATGTTGTAATTTCTGGATAATAATTTCATGAAATTTCAGTCTTTAACTGCATTATTCAGAGTGTCATATTTAATATATGTGTATGTCAAATGTAAAACAGATTTTAATATCATTCTGTTTGCTTCATTATTTCGCTCACTCCAGTAAAAGAGTGTGTACGCATGGTCTAGAGTGTCTGTACGGTGCGCATATTTACGCCTAGTTTATTTGTTATAAATCCCGATATGTGCGTGGAAAATTTTCCACGCACATATTCCACGCAACGTTTATACATCAGGCCCCAGGTGTTGTTATGCTAATCTTGATTAGTAGGTTGTGAAGGGATAGTTCATCACCAAATGAAAACTGTCATTATATATTCCCCCTGTTTTTCCGGCTCATATGACAGACTTTCGTGGAACACAAAAGACGTTTATCAGCACATTCGTACTTCTCTTTTTCCATACAATGAAGGTAAATGATGGTAGATGCTGTCAAACTCCAAAAAAATGCACCATTAAAAAACCCCATAAAATCAGTTTTAGATGACTCGTGTGCTATATTCACAATCTTCTGAAGTCAAATAATAACTTTCTGTGAAACGGACATGCAAGTAGTTTTTAAGTTTACGTATTGCTTTATGTGAGTTGTGACATTGGAAGGGCCATCAACAAGTCTGTTGTAATGTTAATGAAGGAATTTTGCAAAGTGGTTTCATTTTCCAAGTTATATTTTTATGGCACATTAAGCCATACGAATTAGTTAATCACTCATCTTTTTCTTTATGCAAAATAAATGTTATTGTTAAGATAGTGGGCATAAATAAGTAATAGAAATGAAGGGTTTTCATAGTTTTTAAACTTATAATATATATATAAATAATTGTGTGGATTTGTATTTATTGTGCTGGAAGGATTTCTACAGAAAATGTCTTCCTAATTTGTTTTTAACCTTGTTTTTAACTTTAATGTTAATTAGAGTTTTTGTGTGTTATTCTAAATAAGCAAGTACTCAATGTTAGTAATTTTCATAAACGTGCCCAAACCTATTGTTTCTATTGTAGCTAAATAAACGTATTGATTTGTTTGTGAAAATATTTTTACCAGTGTTTTATACAGTACATACGTGTGTGTACTAATATTATTTTTAATATCGTTGCACCTTTTGTTAAGACTTATAATTCGATTTTTTTAAAAATATTTTCTATACTCAATTTAATTTAAGTTATTGTAATTATGTTGTGCGTTTTTGTCATTTTTATTAGATTTTGTTTTAATGTTTCTATGTAGTATTTATTATAAATTATTTATTGGTTTTAGTTCAGTATGAAAATGAGAAATATTGCCTTGACAAGTTTTTTTTTTCGTATCGAAAATCTATCTTCTCTGAATGTTAAATGGATTTCCTCTGTCAAATCATATAGAAGATCTCGTTGAGCAACCCTTACTGACGCGTGACCTGCTTACGAAGATAAACTCACCTTTCTGACGACATGAAAGGAGAAACAACAGATCACTTGATGTTGCAACTCACTACGTCATCACACAGATGAAACAATTGACTTCAGTCTACTTTCTCTTTTTTTTTCTCTGCTTGCCGAGCTCTGAGTGATGGCTGTTTATGTAATTTTGGCAGTAGTAAACTGTTTTTGGGGTGAGTCAGTGGTAGGACTTCAGGAAGTTCTGTGGGTGATGACTTGTAGTTTTCCATGATGATTTAGGCATAACAGCAGCATGACAAAAGGTGAACTTTGTGTTCTTTGGAGCAGGGCTGTGTCTTATCTTTAAAATGTGATTTAATATTTTATAATATATTAAAATATTTAGTTTTTTTTTGCTTACACATCACATTTCAATAGTTCAGTTTGTGCGTGTGTGTGTGTGTGTGTGTGCGCATATATACACATATATATATATATACATACATACATATACACACATAGTTCAGTTTGTGTGTGTGTATATTATATATATATTAGCAAATGATTAATTGCGAGTAATCGCATCCAAAATTTAAGTTTTTGTTTACATAATATATGCGTATACTGTGTATATTTATTATGTACATCTAAATACACACACACACACACATATATATATATATATATATATATACACACACACAACTGTTCCGGTTTAATTTCTGTCCTCTATACCAAGTTTTCTCTCTCACACACACACACACACACACTCTCTCTCTCACACACCTCTCTCTTTCCGTCTCATTAGCTCACACACCTTTGCTTTGACGCAGCCGGCATCACCGCGTTCCTGTCATCCCCAGCTGTCTATCAATCATCTGCAGCCATACTTCTGTCACATCAATAGTAGTGTGTGTAGATGTGCGTGAGAGAGGTGCCTGCAATGGCACCCATGGAAACGTGTTGTTTTTTTTTTTCTCTCTTCAGGTCTACCTCAGCCTGTCTCAGGTGTAATTACTAAACGACACATGAGACAGAGAAGAAGGGGGCCGAACGGTTAATTGCTACTCTTCACTTAAGGGAAGTTGTGAGAACAGGAGATGGGAACGTGATGGCATTGTGCCACGGCTTTAGTACATTAACAAGTTTGACTGGAAGGCCTGCCATTCCCAAAGAAACGGGTTGAATGGTGTGTCAATCCTGCCGGTTTTTTTTTTTTTAAACCCACACAATTAGGAATGCACAGTTATGTGATGGTATCAGCATTGACCAATATTATTTGCTTATTGTTTACGATCGCCGTTGGCCTGCGGATAATACAAGGTTTAGGGCTGGGTGATATATTGAATACTCCCAGTATATTCGTGCTGCGAATTAAGCAATATTGTGATTATTAGAATGTTTTGTTTTTTTTAATTTGGCAATTAAGTTTTTCAAAGGCCTTGTCCTTACACTAACTCTGCTTTGCATGATTTGGTTCAAAACTTTGACATGATTAGATTGCATCACTCATAAATGATCAGGGAAATCCCTTCTTTACTTTTTTTTCCATGTTAAAATGTTTTTGTAAAAATATATGTAGGTAAATATTTCTGTATATTTGGTCATGTTGCAGGCTGGACTTAAACCTTGATCATCCATGTGAACAGCATGGTATGTTTCATTCGTTGAAGCACCACGGTTCTGCTACATTAGCTTGAGGCCTTTGGTGTGATTTGAAATGAAATGATTTTGAGAGCTTGTTTACTGTTCAACGTCAGAAATCAATTCACCAGAATGAAGTTCTTCAATTCCAAACAGCATTATTTTGTCACGTTCCTCTCTTTAAACTTGACAGTTAACAGCAGCATAAAACAAATGGGTTAGAAAAGGTGACTGAATGGCACAAAGTATCAAATTAAACAAGTTGAACTTTGAATGAGATTTTATCAGGAGACAAAACCAACCGTTGTGACCTAACTGAAGGACGATCTGTAGGCGTATCGGTCTTTTTTTGCATTTGTTGAATTGGAAGAAAACCAGTCCAAAGTTAACACCTTCACACCCAGAGGACTTGGATGTCAGTTTTAGGATCTGTTGAGGTCTGCTAAAAAGTGAAAATTGATTGTCAGACATTGTGAAAAGATTGACTTTATTAGCTCTGAACTCATTTATAGGCTTATCTGACCCTTACTGTCCTAATGAAGAATCAGTCTAGAACTAAAAAGGTTAGTTCTCTTGTGTTGTGATTCTTCACTTATTTATTGAACTACAAGTAATATGCTTTAATAAACACAAAATGTAACTTTAAAGAAATTCAGAACCGTTTGGTCGTGATATATAGTGGAAACATCACCGAACTGGAGTTACGATCCGTGGGGGACTGTGAACTCATTATTCGGGTTCATTCCTGAAGGTGACCTGTGGTTGCTATTGATTTGCTGCCGTGTGTTGCACACTTGTGTATGTGAGACCGCTTCCTGTGAACACCTGAGTCTGCAGGGCTCTGAGCGAATGCCCGCTTGCAGTAGCAGACCACAGGAACGTGCATGTGTGTAAGATGTGCACATGTAGTGATCTCCCACAGGAAGACTTGTGGCAGGGGCGACAGCCACTTCCAATTATGCTCATCTGCCTTTGATAGCTTCTAAGATGAATTTATGTGGCCCATATGAGATGATTTGATTAGCTGCTGGGGTTTTCCTAGTGAACCCCAAAACGGTCTATGAAATACTGTCTATGAAATACTTAATGACCTTTGAATGAAGCATTCAGCCTTTCTTTGAAAAATAAAAATGGAGTAAAATTTGATATTATAATTGTACTTAATGTTATAAATGTTAAATAAAATTAATTTAAGATAAAAAATGAAATGCATTCTTTCTGTCTAAATGTGATCCACCTTATAATTATGCATTTCTTTTTTTTCTAGGATTCCTTTCAAAATTGGACAACCAAGGAAACAGATTGTTTCGAAAACGGTAAGAAATCCACAGGACTTTACTCTTCCTTTTTCCATTTTTACTGATGAATTCTGTGCCACAAAATGCAATTGCAAAAATAATGATTGTTTTCAAACCAGACTCTAAAACATTTTTAATGCTGCCAATATTTTGCTGGTATAAAGCCGATAGATATGATATAACAGATTAATTTATATAACACATGCACAGTATTGATAAAATAATATTAATGCAATTTTTAAAAATATTGATATAATTTTGTTTTAATGTTTAATATGATATAACTACATATTTGAGTGATGTGTTTTCCCATTTTTATTAAAAATAAGTCTTTGTGTAAGAGTCAAAAGCCATGAAGCAAGTCAGCCAGCTACAAGGTACAAACTTGGATTTGAAGCAAAAACATTTGAAAAATTGGACAAAAAGACAAAGGCACAAGACGCAATGCAAAAGACACAATCAAATAAAAAATTATGTAGAAATACAAAACTGGGTAACACTTTAGTATAGGGACCCATTCTTAATATTAACTAGTTGCTTATTAGCATGCCTATTATTAACATATTGGCTGTTTATTAGTACTTATAAAGCACATATTCTGCATGACAATATTTTACATCCCTAGCCATACACAATACCTAAACTTAACAGCTAGAAATTAGGAGTCAGTGGCTGCAAAGTAGCACCAGCAACAAGCTAAAAACCCCTCCGAACACTCTAGCATAGGCACGAGGCGTTTTCTCAGGCACACGCCACTCACATTTCTCTCCAGCAAATGTCTAGTTTTCTAGTCCATTTGACTCCAGTGCTGTGGTCTGGGATTGAGTCATTGTTTGAATAGATCAACTGTGAGTTCATAAGCACCTCTCTGTTGTGGACACCGTACACTTGTGTGTCCGTGAGTGGGCGTCCTGATCTCTTTCTCGTTTCGGGGAGGTCAATCGACATCTTTTTTTTTTTTTCTTATTTTCCCCATATCACCTCATTCCCTAACTCGCCTCCTTTCCTGTTACACCACACTTCCATGGTCACCCATGAGTGGGCAGGCCACAGGCCGGACACACGGCTCTAAACGGGCTACCGACTGCCTGCCTTCCCAAATATTGTTTATTTACAGACTTTGCCCACCGAACCACAGGACAGGAACCCCTACTGCTGCAATTATGGCATCATTAACCCCCTACACACAGCGGTAGGGTGGCATGGACGCAAGCTAATGTGGCAACAGAAGGCCACTGCAATAATTACAGGACCTCCTGCAACTGCTGATTTCCAAATGAAAGATTCTGCTTGTTCTGTTTTCTGAATCTTTTATTTTTATTTTTTTTTTCCCCGTTTGATCTCGTTGAAGTTCTTCAAAGATCTCGCCTAATAGCTAAAACGTCCCAAACTGATATCCAGCTCGTTTTTTTCCTCTACTGGCTTTAGGTTTTTTGACTCGCTCGCTCTTAGGTTCTGCAGCCCTGTAGGTTCTGTTTTTATGATTACACACCCAAGAGAGCTTGTAGAAAACTAGAGCAGTTTGCCCACACACTTCTTTAAAGAGACTTTCTATCCGTTCTTCTCATATCTCTCCACATGTCTCCTCCATTTCTCCACAGGTTGAAAGGGACTTTGAGCGGGAATATGAGAAGCTCCAAAAGTAAGTTGACATATCCGATGTCGTTTATTTTTATTCGATGTGTTCTGTTGCCCACAGAGCTTTGAATGTTTCTGAGTATCATTAGCTTGCCTGAAATTGCCCAGCAGAAGACGGCAGCGAGCACTCAAAATATTTGTTTTCCCAACAAGAGCAAGCTCAAGTAGAACATCGATTTAAAAAAAAAAGATCAGCATCGAATTTGAAACATTTTGATTTGATCAAAACCATGGCGCCAGTCTAGGTGTTCCAAAGGATTGGTACGTTGTCGACGAGACCCTGATGCATCATTTGTTTCTCCCCAATCATGACAAAAGTTAAGTGATTCTTGTATATGAAACAATGGAAGCATGGTTACAGGGTTTTCAGCGCTCTAAATGAGAGGTTGACTGAAATGCCTCCAGCCTTAATTTTCATGCATAGACCTGTACCTACCTAGCCAGAACACTTTAGGACTGTATAGACCACGTAATCCTTGGGTTTTGATTAATGTGAATGGGTAAATCTCACAAAACCTGTCAAGGACATATCTACGTCATATTTCACCCCAAAATTAAAAAGAAATGCATATATTTACAATACAATGTATGCAATAATGTGTGTGTGTGTGTGTGTGTGTGTGTGAAAAATGTAAGGGGATCTGAATACTTTCCGTACCCACTGTATATATAATGTATGTATATGTGACCCTGGGCCACAAAACCAGTCTTAAGTGTCAATTTTTCAAAATTGAGATTTGTACATCATATGAAAGCTCAATAAATAAGCTTTCCATTAATGTATAGTTTGTTAGGATAGATTTGGCAGAGATGCAACTATTTGATAATCTGGAATCTGAGGGTGCAAAAAAATCAAAATATTGAGAAAATCACCTTTAAAGCTGTCCAAATGAAATCCTTAACGATGCATATTACTAATTAAAAATGAGGTTTTAATATATTTACGGTAGCAAATTTACAAAATATCTTCATGGAACATGATCTTTCCTTACTATCCTAATGATTTTTGGCATAAAAGTAAAATCAATAATTCTGACCCATACAATGTATTTTTGGCTATTGCTACAAATATACCCCAGCGACTTAACACTGCTTTTGTGCTGTGTGTGTGTGTGTGTGTGTGTGTGTGTGTATTAAATAAATGTAAAATAATTTAAATAAATGTAAAATAATTTAAATTGAAATTTTAAAACAAGCCCCAAATCAAATAAATAACACAAAAAACTAATCTCTTCATATAAACAAACTAAGGCTTTGTCTGTGCTCTTTCCATTTAAAATGAGGCAACCACGGCATTTTAATCATGATCCAAACATGCAACATGAGCAGTTTTTAAATCTAAATTGGATTGTATAATTTTGAAATTTGAAGCAAAAACAGAATGGTTTGACTTCAGTTTTGTGAAACTATGCTTAAAAAATATCTGCATGAAACAGAAACAGCAGACGAGCGGAACGAGACGCAGATTCACTCTCTGCCAGCAGGTGGCGCTTAAAGCGTTTCCTGGTTTCCGCTGTAAACAAAGCAGCGCTGCACTTATGAACTTTAATATGCATTATACAGAGGCAAGAGGAAAATAAAAAATACCATCTAAAGACAGTAAGTTCCCCTCAGACATACATTCATATAAACTCTTACCCCTAATTGTATCGCGATTCGTTTAGCATCTCAACCGATTTGAATCGTTACATCCCTAACTTATATAAACAAATTTAATTTTGAATATTACAAGAAAATAAATTACAGTTATGTGAATTTAATGTTAAATTCCTATGAAATAATGTTTCTGTGTGTGTTTGTATGTATTTGTGTGTGTAGAAACAATTTTCACTTAAAAACTGCTAGTAAATTTCACAAACAATTACAATTAAACAGTAACACATTGAATTAAACAATGTTGAATTAGAAAAAGAGAAACAGTATTTTCTTTTAAAACATACTTCAATTTATTTACAACTTAGAAAAATCATTTGTTTCACAATGGAAAATGCATAAAATTGTGAAAATCGTGTACATTGTAGAAAGTAGTATTACGGACTGTTTTATGGTTCCACTTTCCAAAGCAAAGGTGGAAAAAGAGTGTGGGAAATGACCTTTATATTTGACCTTGATGTAAAGGTGATATACTTTCCCACACTCTTTTTCCACCTTTGCTTTCTTCAATCTTGCATACTTTTTATTTTTATTTTGTGACATTTACCCCAGCATGGAGCCATGTAGTAGGACAGAACAGTTTTGTTTTGCATGCTTGTCATATCCCTTGTCTTGTTATATCAGGTCGGAGGTCATCTGTAGAGGCATATGTGCTTTCTAGCGCCTCACCTTACTCTGTCGCCTTAGTTTCGCTTGTGTAGGTGGAGTCCCTGTACAAAGAGTTAACAGGCATATATCACACACGCAAGTGCTTGTGGTGTGGGCACGGACGTGTAGAGGCCTGAACTCTTGTCTGAGAGGGCCACTCCTTTGGTTTGATTGCTATCAGAATACCACAGATTACGCAACACCACACACCCCGAGTATGTGATGCCCGTTGTCTTTGTGATACTCTTTTGTGGTCGTAGTACTGGAGCAGGGGGTGGATGTTATGAATATGGATCAGTGCACTACATTGATCCATATTCATTCATTCATTCATTCATTTACTGTAGATTTAAAAAATGAAAATGTACTCACCCTCATGTTGTTCCAAACATGTATCACCTTCTTTCTTCTGTTGAACACAAATGAAGATATTTTGTAAATTGAGCTGGTTATTGTTTTCCATGCAGTTGCAATGAATGAAGACTAAAGGTCCGTTCACACCAGAGATAATAACTATAATGATATAGTTGTAAAAATCATTCTGAATGTAAAAGAATAGCAGTTATGCATTATAGCATTATGATAATGACACAGAGTAACACTATTATTGCTTGGAATTACTTTCACAACATATTTTTTTCCCCACGAAATGATGAACAATAAAAACATTGAGAGCCAATCAGAATCAATTCTGCTTAAAAGAGCTCAAGCGTTTAAAGCAGGAGATGACAAAGCTGCAGTGCGATTAACATAAACATAATTTACTCATGCCTTGTTGTGGACACTGATATACACTGCCGTTCAAATGTTTGGGATCGGTAAGATTCGTAATGTTTTAAATGGAGTCTCTTGTGCTCATCAAGGCTTATTTATTTGATAAAAAATACAGAAAAAAAATGTAATATTGTGAAATATTAATGCAATTTCTATATTCAAATTCCTATTTTAATATACTTTAAAATATAAGTTATTTCTGTGATGCAGAGCTGAGTTTTCAGCACCATTACTCCAGTCTTCAGTGTCGCATGATCCTTCAGAAATCAGTATAATATGCTGATTTATTATCAGTGTTGAAACTGTTGTGCTGCTTAATATTTTTTTGGAACCTGTGATACTTTTTTCTTTGATTCTTTGATGAATAAAAAGTCTTATAACGTTTTATCACCTTTTTTTATCCATTTAACACATCCTCGCTTAATAAAAGTATAAATTTCTTAAAAATAAAAGATTTACTGTCCCCAAACTTTTGAATAGTAGTGTATATTGTAACACAAAATTTCTATTTTGAATAAATGCTGTTCTTTTTAACTTTTTATTCATCAAAGAATCCTGAAAAATGTAACTTAGCATTAGTATATTAAAGTATATTAAAATAGAAGGCTGTTATTTTAAATTGCAATTATATTTCACAAATTTACAGTTTTTTTTTCAGTATTTTTGATCAAATAGATACAGCCTTGATGAGCATATGAAACGCCTTTAAAAAAAAAACATAAAAAATCATACTGACCACCCCAAACTTGTGAACGGCAGTGTATAGTTATCGTTATATTTATCATTCTTGGTGTGAACAGGCCTAAAAGCCACAAAGACACCATAAAATAGTCCATAATACAATTTTCTACCATGTACACTATTTTCTTAGTTTACCAAAGCCATACGTTGTAAATAATATTTTTTTTCCCTGAAGTTGTAAATAAAACAAAGATTATTGGAGTAGTTACAACCAAAATTGTATGATGTCTTCATAAGCTTTTTGAAGCATCAAATTTTAGTTGGAAACTAGCTGGACTTTAAATAGAGGAATTGAAATCTCTCTGGTTTCATTAAAAATATCTTTCGTAAGTTTAATTTGTGTTTTGAAGATGAACATGAAGGTGAGCAAATGACAGACTTTTCATTTTTAGGTTAACTATCCCTTTAAGAGCTAAAATCCCATGGGTCATATTCTTTACTAGTAAAATCACTTTGTCTCGAGCGGCTCATTGCTTTATTAACATAGTCGTCGTGCATTTTGGCAAGAAAATTCACACTTTGTGCCAATAGGACTTATATGTAGTCATAGCCCCCAAAGCATTGTCCTCCTCCTCCTGCCCCCGAAACCTTTCATCAGAATGTGGGGGTTTGGTGCTAATGTGTTGGCTTGTAACCCGCGCTAACTCTAAATGACATTCACATGTTAGGAGACGGCGTGCTGCTAGCGTGTTCGCATGACAGCCGTCTGGAGCAGCTGGGCCAATGCTACTCTATTAACACCTACCGTAATGGACCCTTTATCTAATCTTGTTAGGAGTCTCTTTTTCCATTTCTTGCCAGTTAACCATGATTCCCCACCTCCTCCTCCTCTTTATCTCTTCAATTGTTTTTTTTTTTCATTCTTTCGGCATCCTGATATAAAGGTGATATACTTTCCCACACCCTTTTCTTTCCACCGTTTTATTCTTCTAATGTCATACAGCCAAAAATAAAAAATGAAATTACCAATTTCACCACCATTTTCCGCAGATCTCCTTAATTGCTGTAATAAGTGCGGTGTGAGGTGCCTCAAGGGTGTCTCCCAGTCCGTGTCTAATTTTCCACCTAATTGATTATAATGAACAGCTCCCCCATCAGCGGCGCAAACACACTCATGTGAGCGTGAGTCGGATGCAGTAGTGCGGTAATTGCAGTTGTTAACACCCCCAGCGGGTGTGAATGGATCAACGCTGTGAAAGACCCTGTGAATGATCTCTTCTGCCTCTCAGGAAATGTTACTGTTGTACAGAAACATGAATGGATATTGGATACTTGCAGATGAGCGTAGTAAAATAACTCTGGTTGTTTTATCTCTTATTTAAATATGATAAGAGCATTTGATGCTGAACCACAATATCATAGACAATTGAGGATGGGCTTTTTACATCTTAGCGACTGCAAAGCAATGCCCTAGCAACTATACACTTAAATATACACACAATGCTGGGTAATAACTGATTACGTGTAATCTGGATTACAAAATCAAATTCCACAAAATAAGTACTTGTAATCAAACTGCAGTTACTTTTTATTGATTGCATAGGTCTATAGGTGAGGCCACACAGCATATTATTTCAATTTTAAGAAGTGTTTTCTCAACATTGCATAATTTCTTTGACATTTTTTGTTTTAATTATTAGCTTTTCATTGAACTCTCAAACCCACTGCAGTTCCTTCATGAACCCCAGTTTAAGAAACCTTGACGTAATGTGATGTTTAATACACTTAATGTTGTTAATAACAACAAATGTAATATATTTTCTTTCTCTTTGAATTTTCATATCAATATGGTACAAGATTGTTATTTAAGTCAGTGTGATAACGAGTTAAGTCAAAGTAATCTAAAAATAATAAAAAACTAGTCAGATGTGTAATGGAATGGAATTTTCATGTAATTCAGAATCATTAATGGACTTGAAACTCTACTGTCACTTTTGACAACCTGAAAGGTGTTCTTGCTAAATTTGAAAGAAAGGAAAAAAAATGTTAACGTTGAAAATAAGTTTAATATTGCACTTTTTATTTTTATTTGTTTTAGGGTGGAAGATCAGACAAAGAAGCTGCATAAAGACATGAAGAAAAGCACAGAGGCTGATTTAGGTTTGTGATGATTCCCTCTCCTCTCTGCTAATGTTGACTCTTCGCTAAATATAACTGTTGTAATGTCAAAATGAAACCATATACTGGTGTAAATTGGTAAAATCAATATAAGCTTCCATCAACACTAGACCTGCATTGAGCCGTCACATTTTTCACTTTTGTACTTTTTCCTCTGATAAATCTATGTAATTCAGTGAACATTAATTAAACATTTTAAAATATGTATTACAGAGCTGAAATTAATACACTTTGGGTCACTGACAGCATTTTTAAAGGAATGTCCTGCATCTTAGTAAAACAACGTTTGTTGCACAATGCTGATTAACAGAAACTAATTTAAACTGCGGTTACGTGATGCAATTTAAAATCTGAACAGATTGTAAAGCGCTAGTTATCATACCCTTGTTGACTTTGTAAATAATTACAGAGGAAAAACTGTGCATCATACACTAAATGACTGAGGATCACACACTTCCAGACTTTTCAAGTCGTTCCAAACACAACAAACTCATGCGGAAACATGCGCCTCAGATGAAAACAGGTGACAAATGAAAACAATATGCATTCTAAAATCAGTTCAAACTACCAAACATGTTTAATATCCTCTGTCTGGATAGAAGCTAAATAAATAAATAATAGTCTGAAGCTAAAAATTAGACTATTTTCTGTTAAATCTATCAACTCTGACTGCCGGATCTGCAGACTGACTCTGACTTTTTCCACCTATAGTGTCGGCGCATCCAAAAATCAGGAAATGTAGTGTATTCCAGCCCTTAAACGGTGCTTTACACACAGTTATGTCATGTCTACTGGTCGACCGATATTGTTTTTTTGACAGCCGATGCCGATATCTTGGAAAGCAGGGTGGCCGATATAATTGTATTTATTTTCATTCATATTTAAGAAATTTTAAAATGGATTAAAAAATAAATTTGTAAAATAAACACTTTAGATGACAAAGTATCTTCCACAAATAAATAAATATTTAATACAAATATAATTAAAAAGGAAGTAAACCGTAACCAACAGAGCACTCGGTATTCTGGGAAGTTTGTGTGCATTGGAAATCATATTTTTTCAAATAAAGCCAAAGTAACACTCATTTTACATACAGCACACAGTGAAAATGACATGAATATGACAGTAGGCAAATACATAAAGCACAGCATAATTCAAATTTAAGGTTTAAAGCATTCAATTTGCACGGACCGAAAGTCACGCAGAGAGCACGCGATCATGCAGGTCACATGCACACTTCACTAGATCTCACAACTGGATTCGACTAAGTTTGCAAGGTTTGTGAAATTACGTTTTCATTAGCCATTCAAAGATTTGTTTAAATGATGTAAATGCGTATTTGCTGAATGCTGACAGCAAACGAGAAAGTATTATAATGTTTGCTTTTCTATTACTAATAATATAATATATAATAATATTTGTTTGCCTACAAAACCACCACTGGCTCTGCACCCATTTACCTAAATTCATTACTTCAGAGTTATGTGCCTTCTAGAAGCTTGCGTTATGCAAGTGAACGGCGTATTATTGTGCCATCTCAAAGAGGCACAAAATCACTTTCACTGACTTTTTCATTAACTGTTCCCTCCTGGTGGAATGAACTGCCCAACTCAATCCGAGCAGCTGAGTCATTACCCATCTTCAAGAAACGACTAAAAACACATCTTTTCCACCTTTATTTGACCCTCTAATTCTAGCACTTTCTATTCCATATTAGACAGAATTGTTACCGACGACAGTGAACAAGAGAGAGCACTGTGTGTTCAGGCGCTGCCGTTCTCAGCACCGTCAAAATTAAAGTCCCGCCTCGAACGCATTGGCCAAACAGAAAAGCTTATCGACCGATGCCGATATTTGAAAAATGCCAAATATCGGCCGATATATCGGTCGACCACTAGTCATGTGCCTTTCTGGTATCTTTGCACATAATGTTGAAAGTTGCCAGATGTATTGCCATTATCACAGTTACACAGAAAGTGATTCTGTTATACTATTTTAATGCAGACTTACCTAATGTTTTAAGGGATCATGAAACGGAGAATCAAAATGTTCATATATACGCTTGATATGTTATTCTGTAGTAAAAACATACTACAAGTTTCAGAACTTAAACTAACTTCCCACTTTAAAATGATTTGTTTCTACTCTTCTAAAACGCCAAGATTAGTAATGGGGAAGAATTGTCACGATTTCCCCTTGACACGGCCCTTAGCATGCGTCATCTCCACATGTAATCAAGGAGGCATGTTCTGAACAACTCACGTCTGTCCATCAATCACAAGATGCCGATTAAGACCGTCAGATGTTGTTTTGTCAATGGATGTCAAGAAACTGCACATCCAAACACTTGATCTGAGCATTAGAAATGCATCGCTGAAGTTTATTCTTAATGATGTGACTGAAAGATAAAGTTTTCATTTATTCTTCACATTTCACAATGGCCTGTTTTGTAAAGTATTTTAAATCTTTTATTGAAAGGTACGGCAGTGCCAAGCATATGCAGAGTTTTAATCTTACAGTGTGCTTGTAATAAACAACAAACCAGCGTTTAAGGCCGTTAAGACAACAAGTGTTTCATTGTTTGAGTGTTACTAATAAAATCACATGCCTGCGTACATGCAGCATGTTTCATAATACGACAAGTAATAATAGCACTATATACTGAAAATTAAGCACTTAAGCAAGCAAAAGCAATTATCATGTTAAAGCTGTTGCAATCATTGTGGTTGAGTGGTTTCAGTGTCTTTTTTTCTTCAGGATCAAACATATATATGGCTCTATCACAGCACTTGCCATCTCGAGGATCAAAAACACAACTATTTTTCTGTTTAATACTGTATAAAACTGCTTTGACACAATCTGTATTGTAAAAAGTGCTATATAAATAACAGTGACTTGACAACATGAGGTAAAGGAAGGTTGGATGCGGTGCGATGAAGTTAGCCAATCACAGCAGTGGGCATTTACTCCCTTTGCGAGAGGTAACACCCCCTCAAATCCAGTGCTGTTTGCAGACAGTGAAATTTAAGCTGGATTTGAACAGGTATTGGATCTTTTTGGTGCAAAAACTTATATACACACATATAAAAATCGGAAACTGCATTTCATGAGCCCTGTGGCTTTTGATGTTTCAGAATTAGTCAGACATGAGTCATAATTATTTTCTGGGGTATTATGGCTCAAATGTCTGTACTGATATTGGAATATTTCTTGGAATGTGCCAAAATATTTATGCAAGGGGCAACCAGTAAATGCCGATTTCCACCGAATTCTAATAGAATTTTCTGTGGGATTTCCATTGCCTAGCTATGACAAGAAAAATTATTTTGCTGGCTGTCAATCATGTGTGCTGCACATGTAGCTGTGATTATGTGCGCCACACAGCTGAGCTGCATTTGCTGCATCAGTCCTCCACCACATGGAGGCACATTAGTGGTCAAACGTGCATCCTTTATCAACAGACATAAACCAGAAGTTAACAAAAGTTCAAAATATTTAGCGCCAGGATATTGAAATGCTTTCTGTGCTGTCGGCAGGTCAGAAATCTTTCCAATCCATAAGATGCGAGGCAAAACACCTGCGAAAGAACAAAGATTTGTAGAGCCGCTTCACAAGTTTGTTCCGTGCATGTTGGAAGGGGTCGTTAGAGAGTTGACGGAGATGATGAATATTCACTAAAGAGCTCTGATCGTGTACTGATGCCTCAATAGTGCCAACGCCAATTACAGTCCGTCGCCTTCCCTGCCAGAGCTGCTTAAAGTCAGAATGCTGATCAGATGAGCACGTCAGCGTCAATCCAGATCAGACACACACCAGGCAGGAAGCCAGATAAAACATCCACCCCTCTACACCCCACAGCCCAAACACAGGAAAGACTTGATTTACTTGAGCTAATTGGGGCAAAGTCAAGAAAGAAGGGGAAAGTTTCTTCATTTCAGGCCCCCTATGCTGGATATGGATGTCTTCCATTTTAAATTGGAGAAATATGCATTCATATAATTAGTTATGTTGTAAATATAATTGTACTTTATTATTGTAGTTATTTTAATTGTTATTGTTGTTTTTGTAGTTGTCGACATTATTTTTACTATTATCATTTGTATATTATTAATATATCCATTATCGAAACTGCTTGTCCTATGTACAGTCACGGGAATGGTGGAGTTGTTATTATTATTATTATTATGGTATTGTTATTTTTAGCATTATTATTTGTGTGTTATTTTTAGGTATGAAAAGGCCCTTAACACATGAATGGAGTTATTTATTTTTATATTTTTATTTATTTATTACAATATTTATTATTTTGTTATTTTTATCATTTTATATATTATTTTATTTTAACAGTAATAATTCCAGCATCTGCTGCCTGTCTTTATTTTGTGGTTTAGTGTGGAAATAAACATGAGTCCTATTCTGCCATATGTTTGAAACCACTCTTAATCACACTCTTTAAGTACTTGCCACCTATGCAGATGATGAATCGTTTTAAACCAATATACATTCTGTTTGTAGATTACTTGAAGTTCCAGACATGAAAAAAGTTAATGTCTATGAACTGCTATTTTGGCCATTCTTTAGTTTTTAGGCTGAATGATAACGTTTTGTTTGTTTTCCAGCAATGTCTAAAGCAGCCGTGAAGATCTCAGGGGACTTGTTGAGCAATCCGTTGTGTGAGCAGGATCTGGCTTTTCTTGAATCCATGACTGCTCTGGATACAGCCATGAAGAGAATGGATGCCTTCAATCAGGAGAAGGTGAGATTCAGTTGTAAATGGCTGTGTTTCCCAATGCATAAAACATCTCTTCTTCTTATGACTTTTACATTTAATTGAAATGGACTTATGTTGAATTATAAATACTGAACAATCCCATTTATCTCAATGGCAGTTGCTTGGCTGGCACATGACCCAGTAGAAGTATTCAATTTAAAATCTGCCATCTTGATGGCTCATTGGTGCTCAGTTCTGTTGCCAGTTTTCTTTTTCTTTTTTTTCTGAGCCGGAAATGCCAGTTGCTGGTTTAGGCGTGTTTCCAGATTGTTTTCTTGGGCAGGCTGGTGCTGAATTGGCCCTCACAGCACAAAGTCTGACCAACCAATAATCACAGCTGTGAAATATCCCCAAATACCATTCCAGCCTCATTCTACATCAGACCTATTCAACTCTGATCTTGGAGGGCCACTGTCCAGCAAAGTGTAGTATCAACCTTAATCAAACACACCTGCATAACATTCCAAGTAATCCTGAAGACCTTGATTAGCTGTTCAGGTGTTTGATTAAGCAACCAAACTCTGCAGAGTCTAATCATTCAAACCTTGAACGCTTGGATGTGCGTGGTACTTTTTTGTTTATTTTGTTTTGGCCAATATGTTGTCTTTGACTTATACTGACACCTAGTGCTGTGGATGCGGCATCACACAAATATTTTCAGTTACTGATATCTTCATACAAAATTTGCAGCAAGTCAGGATTTGTTTATTCTGTGGGTGAAAGTGTCAAATTGCGCGTAATATTTAGCTGATCTCAAAATGTCTGCTCCCATGAGGTGACTCGCTCCCATGTAAAATATGAGTATGAGAACATTTTCCTTAATACTCATTTCTTTATAGCTAAAACTTTTTAATGAGGAAAAAGTTACTTTCTTCCATCTTTAAATATCATATGCTCCGCCCCCACTTCGACCAGAAGTATTTAGGCTTTGTAAGCTGCCTCTTATTAGGCAGTGATGTTCATTTGCATAATAAGCAAGTGAGTGTGAGACATGTTTATGTTTTGAGCATATATTGCCGCAACTAGATCTGGCTTACTCACCTCTAGGCCCACTCAGAATCTGTATACTTTTTTCCTTAATGTATTTTCTGTGCTAATTGTGGGGGGTGGGGGGGATCAGTGGAATTCTGCAGAATGGATTCCAATATGGTAAAATGTGTGTGTTGCACTTGTATTGATAGTTGAAAGCATGATCGAATTACCCAAAAATATTTAATAATGTTCGCGCACATGCTTAAAAACAAACCAATATTATGCATCAAAGTCTCTCAAACACTGGGAATGGGAACCAAAGATGTTCTATACATTTGTTTCTTCATCCCACTTACCAAATCAAGTGATAATGCACAGGAAAATGCAGAATGTTTCTTTATAAAATCCTGCTTAACACATTTACACACCCACAAGTGTGTGTCAGCCTTTCTGAATCTCTACTCAGAACACAGATTATGGTCTCAGCTGAAAGTCATCTAGTCTTTTGTTAACTGTTTTAGCTTATCTCTTTCATGTTTAAGGGTACAGTGTTTATAACTCAAACATTTCACGCTGCCTTTGGTTATCAATCCAAATCATTACTGACTTCTCCACACCATCGGTCTTTAGGTGCGTTCACTGTTGTTCAGTGGATTTTTATGGCCGAAATACAGTCATTTCAATTGGAACCCACGCAATTGGAAACTTCATATAAAGATTTTATGAATTCGCAACAAGATGATGATGGAAATTGGCCATGTTGACCAACAGAAAGATGCTTGGTTTGAAAGTGACTTTGGAGTTGTACTTCATACTTCACTGCTTTGCTCACAATCGACAATCAACATTTTTGCCCCCGTGAAATTTTGCCAGAACTTTGCTAATGCGACCACAGCTTAAATGCATATATTTGAAATTCCTGTGCAATGTTTTATTCCCCAGTAGCTGTTTATATTGGTCTTCCCAATAACCATCCATATGACCATATGTAGTTGGCTAATGTTTATGTATAACTTGACTCTGTTTAGTACGTCTCAAAAATGAACCATAGACCAACTTCATTTCTGCCTTGCAATGCCTTCTAACCCGTGTTCTTTTTGCCCGTGAAATTTTGCCAGAACTTTGCTAATGCGACCACAGCTTAAATGCATATATTTGAAATTCCTGTGCAATGTTTTATTCCCCAGTAGCTGTTTATATTGGTCTTCCCAATAACCATCCATATGACCATATGTAGTTGGCTAATGTTTATGTATAACTTGACTCTGTTTAGTACGTCTCAAAAATGAACCATAGACCAACTTCATTTCTGCCTTGCAATGCCTTCTAACCCGTGTTTATTTTCTACTTTTGGCCAAGAGAAATAGTTGCGTTTCTGACTTTGGCAGAAGTATGTTCTGTCTTCCCTCCAGCAGATTGGGTATGAGTAAGTTTTTCTCACAGCAGACCCCACGCCCTTCCACACTCAGCGTGCACATGCATCTTCAAATGAGTCCCATCTCTGCGTTGCTATCTTCTGTTTCCTGCTGCTGGTGGTACTGATTGTTGTCTTTTTCCTTTTCTCCCTCTTATTTCCCCACATTGGAGTCAGTCTTTTCTTTTGAAAGTGGTTAAGAGCCCTTAAGCGATACACTCAGCACTGACTGCATGTCAGAAGAGTAGCGCTCATCTTCTCTGGTCTATCGCCTACAACCTCCGCCCTGGAAACTGGGCCCTTCAACATTCCCAATGTATTGAACTCTATGGGGTGAAGCGGCAAACCACCATACTACTCCCAGTGTCAGGCATTGTAACATGATGCGCAGAAGTTCAGACAGTTTCAACTTTGACTTTTTCTGCTGACTATTCAAAGCTCAGCTATTGTTTACCGGACAATTTTCATAATGTATTATGTGGACTGAGCTGGAACAAACATCAAAAAAAATGAAGGAAGAGAGACTGATCTTCTGCAAGTAGCTACACAGAATTTTTTCTGTAAAACACCAATGACTTATGACTTTCAGAGAAAATAAGTTTGAAGACTGGAGTAATGGCTACTGAAAATTTAGCCTCCATCACGGGAGTAAAGAATATAGAATTAAGAAACCTTTGTTAATGGCGACACCAGTGGTCGATAAGTGAACTGCTTCCAGCAGCTTATTTATAAAGTATATTATATTTAAACCTGTAGATAAGGGGTGTCCAATCCTGCTCCTAAAGGGCCAGTGTCCTGCAAAGTTTTGCTCCAACCCCTTAAACATACCTAAACCAGCTAATCAAGGTTTTTCTAGGAATACTAGAAGCTTTCAGGCAAGTGTGTTGAGTTGGAGCTAAACTCTGCAGGATCGAGTTTGGGCACCCCTGCTATAGACTATATTGATCTGGCTACATAGATGTGAGACTATAGTTTGAATTCATCCCTTCTCTTTGCATGACACATTGACATTACAGCACAGAATAGATCTTGCAGCATTAGCCTGAACATAAGCATTCATTTCATGTGTCAGAACAGAAGAGAGGCTTTCGGGAGCATGCGTAAATTTGTCCCATTCTTTTGATTTTCCCGGCAAAAACGTCCAAAGTCTTTCACATAAAAATCAGTCTATATAGGCTTTCAACCTTGGAAGTCGGGGAAGGTCTCAGGTAAGTTTGTTACAAGTTGTTTACACATTGACAGCAAAAAAGCAATAAATACATGAATATTCTAACATACAGCCCCTTTAAAAATATAAAAAAAAAGAAATTGTAGCAATATTTTACAATATCGCCATTTTTACTGTATTTTTGTTTTCCAAATAAATGCAGGCTTGTTTAGTGAGACTATATTCAAAAACATTTAAAATCTTAGTTAATCCAGACTAAACTTAAACAAACAAACAACGAACGAATGAATGAAATGTGAGTATGAATAAATAAACTTTATATATATATTTTTTTAAGTTTCACTGAAATTTTTCACTGTGATACTGTGCCACTTAAAAATATTTTAAAAAAGAAATTGTAGCAATATTTTACAATATCGCCATTTTTACTGTATTTTTGTTTTCCAAATAAATGCAGGCTTGTTTAATGAGACTATATTCAAAAACATTTAAAATCTTAGTTAATCCAGACTAAACTTAAACAAACAAACAACGAACGAATGAATGAAATGTGAGTATGAATAAATAAACTTTATATATATATTTTTTAAGTTTCACTGAAATTTTTCACTGTGATACTGTGCCACTCCAGTGAGCTCTTAAAGGGATAGTTCACCCAAAAATTACAATTCTGTCATTAATTACGTTGTTTACGTTCAGTAGACAGTGCGCGCATTCTGAACGTAAACCACTCTCATTACGTTGATTTCGTTCTGGGGTAAGCTCCAAAATGGTGGAAGAAGGTAACTCGGGGAGAAGAATTGCTGAATAAATTATTATTATTGGTTTCTTTGCACACAAAATGTATTCTCGTAGCTTTGTAAAATTACAATTGAACCCCTGATGTCACATGGACTATATTACCGATGTCCTTGCTACGTTTCTGTGCATTGATTGTGGTAATTTCATTGCTGTCTATGGAGGGACAGAGAGCTCTCAGATTCCATCAAAAATATCTTAATTTGTGTTCGGAAGATGAACGAAGGTCTTACGGGTTCGGAACGACATGAGGGTGAGTAATTAATGACAGAATTTTCATTTTTGGGTGAACTAACCCTTTAACTTGAATTTTAAATCAACAAATCAGTCTAATTTGTGAGTAATTGTTCAGTCTGAATCGGATGAACTAATTTTAAAAAAATCAACTCAAAAGAATGATTCATTTATTGATCCAGTTTTTGAGTTTAATTCACTGATTAAATTATTCGATCGCAGGTTTTTGAGAATTTTAAATCAACAAATCAGTCTAATTTGTGAGTAATTGTTCAGTCTGAATCGGATGAACTAATTTTAAAAAATCAACTCAAAAGAATGATTCATTTATTGATCCAGTTTTTGAGTTTAATTCACTGATTAAATTATTCGATCGCAGGTTTTTGAGTTAAAAGCTCACTAGAGAGGAAGATTATGTGTGAATAATTTGTAACCTCTGGCTTGCCATATAGCACGAAAATCGCAGACTGATATTGAGGTTTTTTTTTTTTTTTTTAGGCCTGGTTGTTTTTGAAGCTTGTTTTGTACATTATGTTTGACTACATGATCCCCATTTACATAATGCAAATGGATCCTTTTGTAGTGTTGATAGGGTTTAATTTACTCCATATTTTTGAATATGGTTGCCCTCAGCTGATAATCAAAGCCATCAATAGCTGCTCAGTCAAACACGTTGTGGATATTCGCTCATGCACAAACCTGCCAGTGCGAAAAACACCGCGAGTGCCTCTAGCTGTAATGCAATCCGCAGATCTCAGAAATAGCAGATTGAAGCCTGATGCAAATATCCTTGCTCTCCGCTGACCCCTCTGTCAGATTCACCAAAGCCAAATGCTTTCTACAGCGCTCTCCTCTTCGCCTGAGCACCGTTTTCTCATACTCTACTGTATGGGCACTTGGCAAGCGAACGGTGCTCTATCCGTGGGCGACGAGAGATGTTAGCACAGCTGATTTTTCAGCTCTGCATTTTGCAGTGTGCTGGTGTGAATTACCACCCTGGGATGCTTGAATGGTTAATAAGACTCCCATGAATCACATAGCAAACCTGCAACAAACTCCCCCTGTTCTTCAGATTGAGAGGTTTTGTCACGGTAGCCAAGCAAATCATATTTGTGTTATATAAAGATAACCAAACCGTCGTCTTCCCCACTCCGTCGAGGGAAAGATGGATTGCCCCAGGGTGGATGCGAATAGGCAGGGAAATGTTATGGTAATATGTGTAGCTTGATTCTAGGCCTGCGCTGGGTATTTTTAAGTCATGTTTTAGCAGCTTTAAGGCCTGTCGAGTTTTAATGGTTAGTAACTAGCAGCTATGGTGGGGAGGAATATCGATTTTTCAGGGTTGGTATGCATTGTATGTATTTTTGGGTGTTATGTATTGTGTGTGTGTGTGTGTGTGTGGTTGCTCTCTGGCCTCTGATTCACACACACTCTCTCTGGAGTGTTTTCCTCAGGCTGTTCTCTCATCATATAGATATATTTCCACATCATTCCCACCATCTACTCTATCTTTACTGTATCTCTTTTTTTTCTCCTCTTGTTTGCCTGAACTATCCATCGCCTCTTTCAGCTGAGAAAGAAATGTACTTTGATTGAAAATTGTATCCATGTTTGGTTATTATGTATTAATTTAATCCTGCTGCTTTTCAAATGCCTGAATGAAAATACAATATGCCTAAATGCCTGAATATGAGAATCCATTATAAAATGAAAGAAGTAACTATTATGATATAACATCAGTTTTTAATGTTTAAGTAATTTGTCAATTTAAAATGTGTGTGTGTGTGTGTGTAAAATTAGTGTATTTTCCTTCCTGGGGACAACAGTGTTGATGAAGAGCATATTTGAGATGAAATATTAGATGTAATGTGTGCAGAAAATAAAAATCAAGGTAAATATCTCTGTATATCTGTATAGGAAATGTATATCACTCTTGATGTATGTATGTATGTATTTATTTATTTATTTACTTAATGTATTTATTGTTATGGTTAGAGGTCATTTACAAATACAACTTACCCTAAGTTTACAAAAAATGTTTGCGTTAAAACTAGAAACGATTTTTATTTATGTATTTACTTATGTATTTGAGTTAATTTACAATTAACATTACGTTTACAATAATTTACGTTAAGACTTGAAACATTTATTAAGAAAGTAATTTGGGATTTATTTATTTATTTGTTTGTTAGGGTTAGAGTTAATTTATAGCTACAACTAACACTAACATTTAACGTTTATTAAGAAAGTAGGTTGATTTATTTATGTATTTGTTTGTTTGTTTATTTATTGGTAGGTTTAGAGTTAACTTACAGCTACTACTAACCCTAAGTATATAATAATTTGCCTCAAGACTAGAAACATTTATTAAAAAAGTAAATTGGGGCACTTTATTTATTTATTTATGTATGTATTTATTTATGTATTTATTTAAGAGCTGCATTGGCAGGCATTTTTAATAATTACTCGGCATCCTTGCATGTTTTAGTTAGTTAATGCTACTTTGGACTTTGTGGATTAAAGATGTAATTTGGAAGAAGGCTATCTCATCTTTAATGAATCGCTCTGTTCTGGGGTGGCGTTTTATTTGCTCTCAGTGACTGACTCTGCTCTCAATAGCGAGTGAGTTGTTGATTAGCTCCATAAGCTACGATCCTCTGATGGGCCTGTCAGCTTGTGTCGGCCTCCCTCTCCGTGTTCTGGTTTAACGTTCCCTGTTTGCTCTCTTCTTGCATTGTTTGCCAGGTTAGGTTAGCATTCTGTCAGCCAACCACATCCTATTGGCATCTCAGATCTGCAATGTAAATGATGTTTTGCAAGTTTAAGGTTTTAATTGTGTGGCAACTTTTAAGACTTTGTTGGTTTGGGGCTCGAGGCGGCAATGCGACGTTCGTTTACACCCATTTAACTCAAACACCCCCCTTCCCTCCTCTCCTCTTCCTCCTCCTCCTCTTCTTCTCTCCAGCCCTGACACCACATGGAGGAACGAGGGGAATATAAACTGTTATTGTTAAAAATGTTTTGTTTGCAAAGAACTTTCATCTCGTTTGGCGGCCCACCCTCTTCAGCGTTTTCAACCCCAGCCGGGGCTGTGCTTTCATGTGCCGTCCCTCGACGATTCCAGCCTTTTGTATTCACTGCACAATTAATATTCACGTCTTTCTCGCTGCTTTCCTCAGGCCAGGAGCACAATAAAGAAACAACGTCACTAACATTTTCTCCATACTTCTCAGTTGAACGCCAAACACTCTTCGCATGGAAAGGGAGCGGTGACAGCTGTTGATCTTTTAAACGTGGGGGTCATGTCAGATCCTCTTGCCAATTAGTTTCACCGAGCAGTTGTTATTTATTTATTTTGATTGTTTTGTTGTGTTCGACCGTAATGATCAATGTAATTTATTTTGATGGTTGTCTTTCAGCTGTGATATTAACTATTTATTTTTTCAGCTAATGTGTTTGTTTTTTTTCTTTTCTGCTTATGCAGGTCAATCAGATTCAGAAGACCGTGATCGACCCTTTGAAAAAGTGAGTGCTCATTTTGCTCTTTTTGAAACATTTTAAAACAGGTTCTGTTCCAAAAACGAGTAATCTGCTATTTAGACACATATATGCTTTAGGCTGTTTAACAGAGTAAAGGGATACGCCACCCAAAAATTCTCTCATCAGTTACTCCCCCTTATTCCAAACAAGATGTATATGACTTTCTTTTTTTTTTTTAAATAATCCATCTCTGTGAGTCCATATAATGCAAGTGAATGGAAGCCACAATGTCAAAGCTCCAAAAATCACATACAGCCGTCATGATGGTAATCCAATAGACTTGAGTGGCTGAATTTATGTTACGCTGCTGTTCAAAAGTTTGGAATCATGATTTTAAGATTTACGTTTTTTTTTTTTTTTTTTTTAAGAAAACGTGTTTAAATGTGTGTGTGCTTTTTTTAAAGAAATCTCTTCATCAAGGCTGCATTTATATGATGAAAAATACAGAAAAAAACAGATATATTGGGAAAAATTGTTAGTGTAAAATAACTGATTTCTATGTCAATTTAATTTAAATTTAAAATATAATTTATTTCTGTGATGCAAAGATGCTTCAAGAGACCTACCTGTAAAGCTACCTGAAAAACTATGTGCAAGTTCACCTAGGGCAAAAGCTGCTTTAAACCGATTTATACTTGATATATCAATTTTTTAAATTTTATTACAGTATTTTTCACAAATAAATGAATTGTTGACTAAAAACCTAACCAGTAATCAATAATCAGTAATCTGACAAAGAGATAATATCACTATGCAAATAAAAAATGTTAATGGTCCTAAAAATATTTTCGTCATGCAAAATATAATTTGTCTGTGAAAGTTGACCTGGACATGTTTTTGTGAGCATCACCCACAGATCAATAATCAGTTAATCTCAAAGGGATGATCAATAATCAGTTCATCTCAGCTCAATGCTGTCAAAATAAAAATTGCTCTTCCGACATTTATTTGCCAAACAGGAAAACATATTGGTCAATACAAGTAATTCAAAAAGGCTAAATATCGGCAAATACTATATATTGGTTTTGGCAATAGACCAGTTCGGTGTTTGCAAACAGTGATGAGGTTTTTTTTGTGGGCGGAGCCTATCTGGTGGCAGAAAATGGCCGTTTTCAAGTAGCAGACTATGGAAGCCATGGAATAAAAGAATTTTAAAAAGGTCAATTTGAGTTTATCGATCAATTTTGAGCCTTGATCACCCCCAGGTGACTGGATGCAGTATAGGTCATAAACCCCTCTCTCCATGTAATGTAATGGGACCTGAGACAAACTAAACGTACACTTCAAATAATTTTTTTCCAAAGATGGTTTCCGTCATTTGAAATAGTTCTTATCATGCTGATTTATGTTCAAGTGTTTGTTTTTCTAATAAGTTAGCTTTTAGCTAGTTATTTGATGCTATAAAAATGGGGTGTGATGTCATGATTGTGATCTTGCTATTGGGTCTGTGGAAGTTTGGGTGGAACTTTGATACCGCGGCTCCACCTAACGACACTACTGCGCAGACTTTGGCTCCAAATGAATCTCTACTGCGCAGACTCTGGCTCCAAACGAATCTCTACTGCGCAGATTTTGGCTCCAAATGAATCTCTACTGTGCAGACTCTGGCTCCAAACGAATCTCTACTGTGCAGACTTTGGCTCCAAACGAATCTCTACTGCGCAGACTGTAGCTCCAAATGAATCTCTACTGTGCAGACTCTGGCTCCAAATGAATCTCTACTGTGCAGACTCTGGCTCCAAACGAATCTCTACTGCGCAGACTTTGGCTCCAAACGAATCTCTACTGCGCAGGCTCTGGCTCCAAACGAATCTCTACTGCGCAGGCTCTGGCTCCAAACCAATCTCTACTGCGCAGGCTCTGGCTCCAAACTAATCTATACTGCGCAGACTCGGGCTCCAAACGAATCTCTACTTTGCAGACTCGGGCTCCAAACGAATCTCTACTTCGCAGACTCGGGCTCCAAACGAATCTATACTGTGCAGGCTAGGGCTCCAAACAAATCACTACTGCGCAGGCTCGGGCTCCAAACAAATTACTACTGCGCAGGCTCGGGCTCCAAACAAATCACTACTGCGCAGGCTCGGGCTCCAAACGAAACCATACTGTGCAGACTTTGGCTCCAAATGAATCTCTACTGCGCAGACTCTGGCTCCAAACGAATCTCTACTGCGCAGGCTCTGGCTCCAAACGAATCTATACTGCGCAGACTCGGGCTCCAAACAAATCTCTACTTCGCAGACTCGGGCTCCAAACAAATCTATACTGCGCAGGCTCGGGCTCAGGCTCCAAACAAATCACTACTGCGCAGGCTCGGGCTCCAAACGAATCTATACTGTGCAGACTCTGGCTCCAAACGAATCTATACTGCGCAGGCTCGGGCTCCAAACTAATCTGTACTGTGCAGTACTGTGACGTCTACTCCAAATGTTTCTATAAATCAGTCGACCGTTAGATATGTGCACATGCACACTGCAGAAGTGCAGAGCTCCGTTAATTGCACTTAAACTTAAAAAAAAAAGTGTTAAAAATGTAAGTATTCTAATATATAATATTCTATTCTAATTTTTATAATGCCAAATTGTGCTCTTTGTGAGAAGAAAAAAATCGAAATAGATATTGGTAACCAAACGGTTGACGGTAGCCATTGACTTGAATGGCTACCGTCAACTGTTTGGTTACCAGCATTATTCCAAATATTTTCTTTTGTGCTCAACAGAAGAAAGAAACTCATACAGATTTGGAACAATTTGAGGGGAGTAAATGATGACAAAATTGTAATTTTTGGGTGAACTATCCCTTTAAGTCTCACAAGTAAAGTGATTTGTGTCTTGTGTGAAATTGCTGAAACTGATGTAAAAGTCACCTGTGCTTTTATTTGGGTTAAGTATGCTGCTTATGTAGGGAGTAGACAATGAGGCAGTTCAGGATTTGGAGCAGAGCTATTTTATCTCTCTTTCAATCCTTTTTTTTTTTTTATGGAAAAAAAATGATGTTGGACTTCAAATATTTTCCATCTGAGGCATCATCTTCCACTGGACATCTGTCCTGGAACTGATTATGCCTTTTGAATCACTGTTCATTAACAGTCCATATATGTGTGATCTGAAGATATTTATGAATGCTGGCTGGAATTGTGTTATTGTCTTTAAACACCTGGAATCAATCTGCGTGTCCTCGGCGGAAAAAATCTGCGCTATTCTATTTCAGTCGGAACCGATATGTTTATTGCGTAACAGAACTACAGCCAGGCTGCTGCAGTTAATGAATATGTGGAAGGTGTGTTAATGACTTTCTTTCAGGTCGCCAGACTTCCTCTCAGCTGCGCGCATTAAAAGCACAGAGCGTTATATGAGAAATGTTCTGACTGCTGCAGGTCTGTCCTGAATGAAAGAGTGCGTCTGGAGGAAAGTTTATTTGGCTGTCCGCCCCTCCACTCCTCTCTCGCCCCCATGAGTGCTATTCCATGCCTCCGTTCTCTCGTGGGACGGGCCGGAACAGGAAGCAGGCCTTAACGAGCGACAAGGAAGAGGAGTGGGTGCAGAGACACTCCTAACAAACGCCTCTCTGTGTGTGTGTGTGTTTTGAGTTTGAGGATTCTTGGAGTGACTTCTTACTCCACTTTTGTTCCCGATGGATGTGCTGATTCGTGTTCAATTATATAAGAAATAATTATATTGTTTTTTTATTACTTTACCCTTGACCACAAAGAGGTTTTGGTCAGCTTTGGTGAAGCCATACAGCTGTTGTGTGTGAAGACAGCGAGTCAGAGGAAGATGGATAGAAAGTGTTTTCTGGTGGTGTGTGTGTGTGTTTGGTGGCAGGATGGAATGGTTCTCATTTCCGCTGACTGGTGGGTGTGTGGCGGACGTGTGTGTAGGCTCTTACTGTGGCCTCAAGCCCAGAAACACACACTCTCATGTACACGCGAATACTATGAGCACAGTTGAGGCTTTAAACAGCAGAGTAAACCCTGCTCAGCATACACACACTCTTGCTCATACACATGCAAACTTACAGCTGACCACTTCTCTTCCTCAAGCTAACAAATATGACTGCTTGAACATAACTGGAGATATTGAACTCTGATTCTTGAGTGAATCTCACAATTATTGAGAAGTATCTAGATCATGTTTCACTTCAAAACCAAAAGAACATAATTATGCTTTAAAGAAATAGTGTTTTTAGGACATAGATATTTTATTTATTTTAAACATCCCTTGGAAATCATTGCAATGTGCTTATTTTGTGCTCAGTTATCATAAATTACTAGTGGTGCTCATTTATTAATAATGATTCGTATTATCAGTTGAAAACCGTTTTTGCTGCTTAATATTTTTATGGAAACTGTGATACATTTTTTTAGGATTCTCTGATTAATAAAAAGTTCAAAAGAACAACATTTATTTGAAATAGAAATCATATGTAACATTATAAATGTCTTTACTGTCACTATTAAACAATTTAATGCATACTTGCTGAATAAAAGTAGGATATACTGTATATATATTTTACAAAATGTTAACGCTGCCATTCAATCTATCATTCACATATCACAGTATCAACACAGTAAAAAATATCACATTAAGAAAAAAAAGAAAATCATATTAGAATGATTTTTGAAGGATCATTTGACATTAAAGACTGAAAATTTAGCTTTGCCATCACAGGAATACATTTAATTAAAATGAAATAAAATAAAATATTTAAAATAAATATATATTTTAAAAAGAAACCTATTTTTAATTGTAAAAATATTTCTTATTACTTATTTTGCTCTATTGATCAAATAATACAATTTTAATCAAATAAATGCAGCTTTTTTTGACGTTATTCGACTATTGATCACATTTTCTTCCCATTCTCATATCCAGAACAATTTTATTATACTTATGTATATTTATTATTTGAAGATTTATACTTGAAGTCAATATTTGTTGCACCTCCTTTAATGTAAGCTAATTTAAATGTATAAATGTTGTAGA